ATTGGTGGTTACCAGAGGGGAAGGGGGGAGGGAGGAGGGCGAAAGGGATAATTCGGCACATGTGGGTGGTGATGGGTTGTAATTAGTATTTGGGTGGTGAACATGATGTAATCTATGCAGACATAGAAGTATGATGATGTACACCTGAAATGTATACAATGTTATAAACCAATGTTACTGCAATAAACAAAAAAAATAAAATAAACACAAGAAAACATCACACAAACCCGCGTTGACAGACATGCTTCAAAATAACTTAACAGTATTCTTCAAAATATCAGGGTCATGAATGATAAGGAGAGACTGAGGAACTGTCGTAGAGTGTAGGACACCAAGGAGAGAGACGTCCTGGACTGCATTCTGAAACGGGGCAAGGACTTTAGTGAAAAAATGGTGTTGTACCAATGTTAATGTCTCAGTTTTCATAAATATTCCATGGTTATGTTAGATGTTAACATGGGTGAAGGGATATAGGAATTCTATGTACCATTTTTGCAACTCTACTATAATTCTGAAACTATTTCAAAAAACATTTTTAAGTTTTTACCTATGAAAGGGCTAAAGGATTTAGGATGATGGGTCGAGGTAACCAGGAGACTTCTTAATGAATATGTTTTATGTAGTTATGATTTTTGAGCCATGTGAAGGTATGAACCATTTAGAAATAAATTAAATATTTAAAAATAAATACAAATAAGAGGGAGTAGGAATTTATTCTTTAGCTACTCTCCAAATTTTGTCCAAAGATTTAGATAAAAGGCTGTTCATGTGGCATATGATGCAATAATATGCACTATTAGAGGGAAGACATAGACATACATATATCATGAAAAAAAGTAAAACAAAATAAAGGGATTTATGTAGAGTTGGTGGCAGAAAGTAGTCAAGCCTTGGGATCTCATATTATAATGTACTATCAAAATGAAGTTTCCATTGCTATTGTTTGTGAAGCACAAAAGTACATCACCAACGATGCCAACAATAATTTAGATGCTTTGCTTCAATTAGACTCCTAGTAAGTGTTCAATGATTGAGTCCATGTTGCCTGTCTCTGCCTCTCCTCTACAGATCTCAGACAGTCTGTTTCAGCAGAAAGGAAAGAGATATAGACCATGGTTTTACGGCAGCCTTTCACTAGACTGCAATATACTTTACATACATGAACTAATGAGCAGGAGAAAATTGATCGGAGGGACACGATGACCATAAAAACTTTTCCACGTTTATTTTCTAAAATTATATTTCCATGTTCAACTGAGAACCCAGTTGTGAGTTCAGGGTTTGGATCTGCAGATTTGCAATTATTTAATTGTACACAATATTTAAATATTTTCTTCTATTTACATGTGCCATTGCATGCTAACTGCACTCTACTGTGTAACTAAAGTTCAGATTTTAAAATTTGACCATATTTGCTAGTGAGGTTTTGCTGTTGACAGAGATGCTAAGGTGACTGACTGTGTGCTTGGTATCTCTTCTGTGATAACAGACAGCTGCTCTATGGCCCTGCCATCCAGCAGGTAATGATTTCTTTATGTTACATTTTTGTTATTATTCTGACAATCTCAATTTAAATTATTTTCAAATCAATTTGCCTCCAAAAACCAGTGAATTAGGACACATTTTCCTTTTTTATGCAATTACTCCATATGCTTAGGGAAAACATAGTATTCTTAAGAAAGGATGAGTCATATTTTCTAGAATGCCAGGGTACCTTATAGCCATGATTGCTTCATGGATTTGCTAATACCCAAATCTAACTCTGCTTTCCTCATCACGTTTGGATTTATACCCAAGAAGCAGGCTTCTATCAGCTCTTTATTCAACTTCTCTGAATTCCTTTTGCGGATTTATAAAGGCTTTCTGACACAATGGTTATGGAAACAGCTAAATGCTTCTTTGTGATCACTACTTCTTACACAATAAAGATTATCTGATTGGATCAGTTCCTCTGATGTGTTCTTTTTCTTGAATGATAAGTTCTAGATTAAAGTGATTTCTCTTATTGGAAAATTTTACTCTCCTATCAAATTTGTGTTCTATACTCAACTTCCTACTCCTATTAGACTAGATTCTCATCATATCTTGGTCTCTTTGTGTCCTGATGGAAAGACATTTTTTTTCTGGACGTTTTTGCATGCTGTTTTTGTTATTGTTGTTGTTGTATTTGCCTTTGTGTGCGAATGTGTGTTAAATTTTTTGTTTCACTGAATAAGGACTTAAAGATTAAGAATTCCTAAGTACTTCAAATTCCATATGCAAACTTGGTTGTCTTTTTGACGTGGTATTTTATGAAGCTTAATTTAACATCAAGCTGTTGGGTTTACAACAGAATATCTAAAGAACTTTCACTTCATTTTAAATATTTGGGATAGAACAGTGTGTTACTATTTTTGCATCTGGTTTCAGGGCTTATTGGAGCTTCAGGATCTCTGGTGCCGTGTGGCTTCCTGAGGCCTGAGGAATCACTGTCCTGTGGCACACCCCTTCCTTACACAGATATGACCCTTCACGGCACACTTCTTAGAAAGCTGTGGTTCTGTATCCCCATCTATTAGTTAATTTCACACCCATAGATATTAGACATTTCCATGTTCCCTGGCAGAAGTCTCAGGTTCATCCAAAGGAAATGGCCTCCACCAATCGGAACAGACCGTGATGCTGGAGCAGGGTCCGGAGGCCCACTGCTGCACTGTTGAAAGATCTCAGGAGGTCCTAGCAGAGGCGTCTGGGTGGCTGTGGTAGGAAAGAGGACCCCACTAGGTGGGCTTAGATGAGAACTACCAACCAATGGGAAGCATACTATATTTATTCTAATCTAAGAAGTCATCAATGGTAAAATGAACCATTATTTTATGTACTACTAAAAAACAAAACAAAACAAATGCCACCAACTAAATTGTCACAATTCTTTCTCATTATTTAGAATTTTATGTTATTCCATTGAAAGAGCTCTTTTAGATATACAGAAATACTTCTAAAATAGGTTTTTTTATTATATGTCACTTTGATGCATATATAAAAAAGCTAAATTAATTAATCAAGGTATATTCATGAAATTTATTTACATTAAGAATGTCAGTCTTCTAAATCACTTTCAACATAGCTACCAATTTTCAAATTTCCCCAGACATCATCATCTGTGTCACCCAGAGCATGGAGAATATAACATTTTTAGAAGACTGCTCCACTGTTATCTCTGGTATTTTTCTCCAAGGCAATATTCTGCCAGCTTTTTCTCAAGACATAAAAACACATAACGAGTGATGACCGTATCACAACTTCCACCAGTAATTGTAGAAGACAGCCCCATTTCAGACATGATCAAATGTGGAAAAAAAAGGTTCTTCTTTGACTTGATAAAATGCGGTAAAATCAGTTTAACAACTCATATGACTATCCTGGTCTGCTGATTATCAGCCTTGCCTGCGTATGTATTATAGTTGGTGTTTACATTCCACTTCGTGTGAGGATATCTGAATATTTCTCAAATATTAATAGTGCATATTTTATTCACAAGTATTTAAAACCTATAAGTGATATTATGCCCATCTCAGAGGTATGACAAAGATTAAAACTTCATTGTTTATCTGCCAAAAGCCAGAATGAATATTACAAATCAAGAGAAATTACAGCTAATTTGTGAATTAATTTTGTGAGTCTAATTCTGGGACTCTGACTTGATATGAATAAATCAAGAAAAAAAATCCAAATTGAAGACAATTTTAAAAACTATAATATAAGAAAAAGAGAACTGTTGTTGTAAAAACTGATAAAATAGCACAGAGAAGGATTTCTTTACAAGGAAAAGAAGAAAATTTGAGAATTCCTATCTACATCCACAAAAATATGTAAGGGCTTAAAACTAAGGGGGATCAATGGGAGGAATAGTTTATTATAAAGGAAGCCAGAGTTCCAAGAGATCTTTGAATGAGACAAGAATGCAAAGAAGCCTTAAAATATCAATACACAAGTCCATTCTAGAATTAAGAAAAAGCAATAATGCTATAGAGTATTGAATCAGCATAGAAAGCATAGAATTAAGAATATCATAGAATGCAGAGAAAGAGGAGGAAGAGATGAAACAGAAAGAGATAAAGATGATAGAGATATATGGGCATTCTGGAGAAAGAAACCAGAGGACGTGTAATAATCAATGATATAAATGAAGACAACTTTACTGCACTGAATAAAATACGTTTACTTATTAAAAGTGTTTACAAATTCTGGGCCAATTAATGAGAAAAGATATACATATAAATATAGCCTATGGTGTTTGTTGGTTTGTTTGTTTTATTTCCAGGATAAATTTTTAAAAATCTTATAAGAAGCGATGCAGAGAAAAATAAAACAGATTACCTTTAATGAAGGGAACAGAGTCAGCTAAATGTTTCTTTCATCAGTACTTCTTCACCAGAAGATGATGAAGAAATGTCTGCAGAGTTTTGAGAGAATAAAGGTTGAAAAACCAGATTT